GGGCCAAATGTGACACCACGCCAACTGTTCAAAGATGCTTTGATTCTTTTTGCATTTCAAGAAGAAATATATTATTGCAGATGAACATCACTTTATACACTTCTTCTGGATGGCATACACGAACCCTCTTTAGAAATAAAATTTATGTATGCAAGTTTCAAGCGTATACCTTGATTTTTTTTGAGCAGAGAAAGTTTAAAAAATATTTTATTAACAGAAAATTTGATTTTTAAGTGCAGAATGCTTTAAAAAATCAGTAGCTATTTTGCTGAAATACTGAGTGGTTCAGTAATTACTTTTATACAGAAATGTATCTGTATGCACTAATAACAATCCTTTTAATATTTATTAATATACGGGACAAATGCCATAATTATTTAATTTTAATTTTCTAGATGCTTAATTTCATTAATGGTAAAAATGGCTACAGCTTAAACATCTCATTCATACTCATAATAGATTCTTGTTGAATACAGAAATGGTATAATTTAGGATAAAGTCATTATGAGTAGCGTCTTTTTAAACTTCGGCGTAAAAAGGCGCTAAATGTAATGTTAAACTTCTCTTCTTGTACAATCCAATAATGTGCTTTCCACTCAAAAAAATTACTTGGCATGAAGCATAAGGAAGATTGAAAAGTAAGAAATGGGTTCTTAATTATTACATTCCCTTTTTTCAATAAATATATGTCTTAAATTAAGACATAAGTTAAACTTCAAAAAGCTCATTCATTTATTTCATCCAACTCCTTCCTTTAATATTTCGATAGCTTAACCCAGCGAGCGAAATGATTGTCAGTTTTAATCTGCACTGTATATAGAGTACAGAACTGCGGTTTGAACACTTCGGGAAAGTAGAAGAATTCCTAGTTTTCAAACAATAATAATCTAAGAATAAGTAGTGGAAAATAAAAAATGTAAGACCATGACTGTTTGACATTGTTTGTTGGCTGAAATAAAATTACAGGTAGTTAAATTTAAATATTTTGCATTTAAGTAAATTTGACTGAAAGATTAAGCTGTATTTACTTATAAATCTTGGTTTTGCTACATGAGTACTTAATGGTGGTTATTCTCCAGTTTTTGGTTTCTTTGCAACGAAATGGTGAATATTCAGAGTCAGTTAAACTGATCGAAAACACAAAAACTAAAATATGTTTTAACTCACCTTTTACTAAACTAAAAGTACAGAAATTAATCTATTATTTTCCTGATTATGTTTAAATTTGTAAGACAGTAACTTTGACTTTTCAGGTTCTTTAATTTTGACTAGTCGGAAACATTTTGTTAAAAATTTGCTTAGAAATCCAGGTCCAATTTAGTAAATGAAAATGTTAATTTGTTACAAATCATTAAACTAAAATAATAACATTTTTCATCAGTTACTTTTACAGATACCAGGCAAACAATAACATTTACTTCCGAAAGGAATTCAGGTTAAATGATGCTAACAGATACTCTTTATCTGTATAAAGTCGCTAGTTCTATTGCTTTTGAAAATAAAAACTGGCATGATCATCTGAATGGAATTCGCTATTAGTTTTGAAGATAGAGTCAAGCTGACTGATGCTTTCGAATGAATTTCGGGATCTAATTAAATTTACCTCCTTTCTTTTTTCGGAAACGCAGCATTCAAATGAAATACAGAATGCAAAACCAGATTCTTTCTAGCTATGTAAATATCCATACTATGTAAATTTCCATTATTTTTGAACGTACAGTGAAATTCATAAACACCTAAGTTAACAATAGCGCATCTGTATCAGGAAGAAAAATGCCCACCAGCGGCCGGGCGGTAAAGTCGCTGAACACTGGTAGTTCGGTCCGAGGTTCGAATCCCGCGAACGGGCTAGCTGCATGGGCGTTTTCGTGGTTTTCCCCATGTGTAACTTGTACGAGCCAGTTTCCCTTAGAAAGTCCTCCACGAAGGCATCCCTCCCCTTAGGCAGCTAGCCCTCGAGGCTTTGCCATAATCACACACACACATCAGGAAGAAAACTTTTAAATTGGAGATTAGTTGGTTAATTATGGCGGCAAATCACGTAAAGGATGCCTTCGTGGAGGACTTTCGAATGAAAACTGGCTTGTATCAACATGGCACACTTGGAAAATTAATACTAAATTCCCAGGCAGCGAGCCTGTTCGTCGGAAACAAAACCTTAAGTCGTTAGCCACTGGTGAGCCAAAAGATATATGAAATCTCTTTTATGCACACAAAGAAATTCTTTTGTGATACATATTCCATTTTCATTATTCCGCTGGATGATAATTACCACATAGAAAAATATATTCTCACATCTTAGGAAATTGCATTTAATTATAATCTAGAAGCAAAATTATAATTAATTTCTATCTATAATCAGCTACCTTATAATAGTAAATTTCCGAAAAGAGCACATTGTTTAGAATACAGTATAATATATCAGCATCAAAAGCAAACTACTGGCAATATAACAATAATAAACTTTGCTGTTATTATGTTGTCAAAATATTGACTAATGATTCGTTATTTTGGGGCTAAAGTTTAATCAGTTTCAGTTATTTTTGAAAAGTTCTTAAAATAAAGCTTCGCAAAAGGAAATGAAAATATATGTACTGGGCAGTGTTGTAAACATCGGAGTAGGAAATCACTTTTTTGTCAACAATCGAAGCATTAAGACCCACCAGTGGCTGAGCGGTAAAAGCCCGTCGAATACTGGTAGTTCGGTCGGCGTTCGAGTCAAGGCGAACTGGCTGGTTGTGTGGACGTTTCGGTAGCTTTTCCTAATGTGTAACGCTGTTGCGAGCCAGTTTTCCTTAAAACACCTCACGGAGGATCCCTCTCTTTCCGTCTAGTGCCTAAGGGAGGAGTACGTAATAAGCCCCCCCCAAAAAAAACATTCAAAGCGTTACTGATAGAAGGTATATTTCTTAGGCAATAATGTTTAAAACTATAAATTTCTTTTATTTCCTCAGAATTTATAATAAATTCAATCAGCATCCAGTTACTTTATAAGGTATTTCTCCCGCTTTCCTAGCGTGCCTTCGTGGTGCAGTGGTTCTGCACGCTGGGCCGGTATTCCAGAGGTCCGTGGTTCGATTCCCGACGAAGGCGTTGCTAATTTTTCATCTTTCCTGCTTCCAAAAATCTAATGTCTCTACAGTGGCACTCGAACTAAAAGGGTTGTGGATGATGACTTTCCACACGCCAGGATTTGGCGATTGGGTCTCCTAAAAACCCCAGTCGTCCTTTAAAAAGGGGAGTATATAATGTATTTTTCCCTCCTTCTTGGCGTGCCTTCGTGGTGTGGTGGTCTGCACCCTGGGCCGGTATTCCAGAGGTCCGTGGTTCGATTCCCGGCAAAGGTGGTTGCTCATTTTTCATCTCTCCGGCTTTTCCAATTAATCTAATGTCTCTAGAATTTGTAGTTTTGTATGCTATAAGCTATATTTTTACTTTTGCTTAATGTAATAAACAGTTTTATATGTTCTAATTTTATACTAAGTACATATTAGGGGTAAGTTCTGAACGCCAGATTTATTATTATTATTATTATTATTGCTTAATGTCGTGTTAGTTTTAGCGAATTTATTTAATATTATTTAGAATTCTATTTATGTAGTTTAAGAATTTTCTTTTTCAATACAGTTTTTGCTCTACTTTTACAGTTTTAAGAACTAACTCATTCTTTTTTTCTATGTTTATTGCGTTTTATATTTATAGTGGCACATATTTCATGTGTTCTATGTAGATGAATTAGTTATTCAAACAAACAAACAAACAAACAAAAAATAATAAGTCGTCTCGGCAAAAAAATTAATTTTAGTTTTTTACTTGATTAAGTAAAATTATTGTTTTGATGATATTTCATTATAATTTTAGTTCTTTTTGCATTTTTACGCCACCCATTCCAACTTGTAGGGTCTGGACTTATGAAGACATAGATTTCTACGATTAATTTTCTATAGTTTGTTGAAATATTAAATTCTAATTTATAATTTTCTTCATTATCACTTCAAAAACAGGCTGATTCATTTACATCTTTCGTTGCAGATGAGGTTCCGAAGGGAGTAAATAACTTTCTTCTTTTACTGTATTCCTTTTATTGTTACGCTATTTTTGCACCTTTTCATGCAATTATCACTGCGCTTCGCGATTTTATGTTGAGTAGTTTGCTCCGAGTTGAATATGGGAGGCAGCTATGAGAGATTATATTTAATAAAAATTTAAACAGAGCAGGGGTCTCTCCTCATTTGTGCGAATACTTATACGTATTTATCAAAGCTAACAAGTAAGAAATAAATTGAAAATGGTTCTGTAACGTAGAAAATGGAACTTAATCCTGTCAGAAAGCAATGAAATTATTAAGTAATATTTTATACGTAATTAATAGTTACTTTTTTCGTTGTTTCTGAGCTATTACAATGACAATAAGTTTCTGCCTTTCTCTCTGTCAACCTATTTTCTTCATCAAATCTGAGCAAAGCGCTCTTTCAAATTGATCTGAGAGCGCGCGAAAAAATGGGCACTATTCTCCCACTTCAAACTGAATTGAAATGACAGCTTTCCAATAATTCGAGCTTTGGAGATTAATGAATATTCAAATGAGTGTGTACACACATCCATATCTATATTGGTGTGTACCTCCTTCATAAAGATAGAGGAATGGCATAAAGACGCCGCATAAGCAAACACGATTATTCATCGGGTAGGGCTTTAAAATATGCGTCCATCTTCGGTTATTTGTTCACTCACTTCAAATCTCACCCTTGGAGGGATGGGTGTGCAAATGCCAAATGCTCCCCTTCGTATTCGCTAAAATAAAATAATCGATAGTATAGTGAAATAATAAGAATGGGAAAAAAGTTCGATCATAAATAGTATTTGGGAAAATTTCTACCTGTCAATAAAAGCTGCTTTTATCATCGGTTGTTAGTGCCAGGCACAAGAGGAAGGTCATGGAGGGGGAAGCGAAAAAAAAAGAGAATAAAAAAGGCAGACAGACAAAAATAAAGGCTAACCTTACTAAACACCAGTCACTTTTATTTTCCCCCTTTATTCGGCAGCACAATTACGAATTCCGTTCGGGACCAACTTTTCCTCACTTTTCCTAGTGTCTTCGGTGAAGTGTATTTATGCAGAGCGGGCCTCTCCTTTGCTTGACACTTGGATAATTGGGTTGTCCCGGCGAATTCACAGGCCCATTTCCCCAGGCAACTTGGAAAGGCACCAGGGGACCAGGGCCAGAAATAATAACTTTTGGTATCGTAACTCGTTTCTCTCCTCCCGCGCTTCGTCGGTCGGGACGCCGTGCGCAATTTGCCTGGCAAAGTGTGGACCCAATTTTCGATGCGGGACTGTGACAGTAATTTGCTCTGTGTTTTAATCTCGTTTAGAGCAAGCTCATAAATAATTATTAGCTCGCTCTTCCACTGGCGGAAACTTAGTTTGGTCGCTACATGTCACCCTAGCGAAAGAATCTCCCATCTGCCCAATTATGCAACGGAGCCGGCTAGTTAAGCTATTTTCTTACTCGCGCTCAAGATTTCACCCGGCGAAAAATATTATATTTCCGACCTATTTTGGCGACCGAATTCTGCCCCGTTTGCTGGATTAACTCTTCCGGAAAATGGTCCGCAAATATAACGCAAATGAAATATCCCGAAAAGTAAATAAGCATGAGGAAAGGAGCGTGTTATTTTTTAACTTATCAATAATCGCGAGGTACGAGGTTTTCTCGCTCGAAAATGTGCGAATGCATAATGCATGGCTCGGCCTTAAACTGATTGGAAATCTTGTGTGTCAGTTTGGAAATCTGACAAATATGTAATAAGATAAATAAATCTTGAAATTAGACTAGCATAGAGTTGGATTTATTTAACAGTTAGCATAATACAGAAAATTAAGAAATAGAAAATAAATATTTCTGAGATAATATGTAAATCGGATGCAGTACTTTTCGGTGGGAAATGCGTATTACATCTACAAACATTAAATCGAGTAGGTGTTCTTGGTGAAATTTATTTAAATCAATTTAACGTTAAATTATTAACTTGTGAAGTAATTCTCTGAAGGTTCACTTTAGAATGTTGCTAGCTACCAGTTAGTTAAACATCTAGCAAAATGCATCAAAATACATTTCAAATAATTGATTGAGGTAATGGTTTATGTAAGGCAGGCCTTTGTGTAGGATTTCCTGAAGGAAACTATCTCGCATTTAACAGCAAGAAAATTACTTTAAAGCCATATGCAGCTAAACCAGTCGTCAGGATGTGAACCAATATACATTTTAGAAACAAGTCGGGAAATTAATTTAAAGAATGAGTTTCTTCTGAGGAATTTTGAGCCCTGCTGCATAAATACGGAGCTGAGGGAAAAGCCAATAAAGTGCATTTTAGCAGTAGTTTAATGCTATTACATTTACTATACCTCACTATAGTGATGAATTCGCATTCCTCTTGTGCTAAAACTTTTAGCATTTTTTCGTAATTTTTTTCAACAATTTAACTTCATACAGTTCTTTTCATGTATGAATGTTGCTTTGGGCTACAAAGAGAACTGTCAACTCATGCTGCGTGGTAAATAGAGGAACCTAACCACCATATACCTAGGGCCCGTACCTAGTTCACACCCAGCTAAGTGAAAGGTGCTGCTAAGTGCGTACTATTATATCAAATGTAGAAGGGATTGTACGCACCTTTGGGCCTATGTTCGAATTCTAAACAAGCATAAACATTTGTGAGAGCAAAACCTTTGTGCAATCGTTATACTTGAAAATTTATTGATCAGAAAATCCTTGTAAAAAGCTGACGAATTCACCTTATGATCAAATCGCCCTAGGCAGTTTTTGTGGAAATTAGTTACCACAAAAAAGAAATACCGTAATGGAAAAACTTTTGAACTGATTTTATTGAAGAACACACTAACAGCATGAGTACAGTAGATTAGTTCCGATCTTGTGAAAGCACATGGAAGAATTTAAAAAAATTGCATTAGCTCTTTTTATTTTCTTTTAAGCCGCCCAACCAGCATAGTGGTTAGCATCGCTGAGTGCCGTGCCGAAACACCCGGATTCGAATCCCGGAGAAGGCATGGATGTTTATAAATGTATAGTGTCGGTGCGGCAGGGCGACACTCTAAATATGCGGTGAGCCGAAAGTTCTCTCGACTTTTGTCAATGGTAAGAGAAAAGGGGTCGGAGGCCCTTGTACCGTTCCCTCCGGAGTGCTGTCTCTCAAAATTGGGGGCGGAACTGAGCTACAGTAACGACAGGCAGATTTGACTCCTGACAACGATGAATGTCATGTGCTTGTGCTGACCATTGTCAAAACAAGTCAGACTGGTAACTGCAACAATCTTTCATCTTTTTACATTCCTCATTTATAATTTTTTTCATTCCTCATTTATAATTTTTTTCATTCCCCATTTATAATTTTTTTCAGATACTATTACATGGTAATTTAATCAACAACCAGCGAAAGTGGGTAATTGTACAATACCGGAAGGCAGAAGGCGTTGAAAATACTCAACAGAAACTCGCTGAAGAATTTGGTGCAACTCCATCACCTGAACTAAAATCTTAGAGATAACGCGACAAATTTGATGAACTGCATATAGATTTTCAGTGATAAATGTATGCAACAAATCAAGCGTATAATTGTTTTTGCATCCCTATATAGAACCAAACACTAATATTTTTTACTCGGGCACAACATGAAAAAGTGTTTCTTTGAAAGGTCTATAAGTATGCAGATATATAGTTCGGCAGCTATTTCCTGCGGTTTGTTTTGGAATATTAATATTAGTGCAAAATGTATTCTATATTTTCATTTTCTGTAATGTCGTATTATTTTATCATATCCTATTATGCCATTCTCATCAGGTTCTCCAATGTTTGAGAAGTGAAAAACCGTCGGACACTAACAGTTTTATTTTGGGCTTGATTATTGGTAACAGAGAGATAAGTAGGTTGTGACATATTACTGTAAGGACGCTAATGAAATACAAAAAGTTAATTTTTTACGAGGTACAGCTAATTTAACCTTTTACCAATTGCATACGAATAATGCATATTCCTACCAATCAATGAACTACTAATACGAATCATGAATAGTTTGAAATAAAGTGTTTATTAATTTTCTTAATGAGAATTTTCTTATTGAATCATAAAACACTGCAACTTAAAAAAATCCGCAGCAATATTTATGACGATATTTAGGACGCAACATAAGAGTATAATTGTACAATGATTTATATTATTTGGATTTACAGTTAAATTTTTATTATTTGATTGATATGATGGTTTTCCTCAATGAATTTTATTACTTTGTTAGTGTGTAATATAGCTCGTAGCATCATCCGTATAAAGCAGAACAAAACAAAACTGGCAAACACAGCATATTTGGCCTTTTCTGGATGCTATCACCTTGCGTTGTATCTGAGGCATTTACCGTTAGAACTGGTCATTAGTTTACACATATGAGATATATTAGAATATTTAATCTATCGAGACGTCTGCATGAAGCAAACTAACGGTAACAGGAGTCCAGATGGCTGACATAGAATTATTAAACTACTCCAACAACAGACATAAGCAAATCCTTAATTTCATTGCAAACATTAATTTTATGAATAAAAGGAAAATACATATTTTAGTCGAAATTTAAACCATAATCGATACAAACAAAGTACATGTTGGTGAGAATTCTGTCGATAAAAGCATTCGGAGAGTAACTATGAATAACAGTTATGTAAGTCAGCGTTGAAGAAAAGCCAATTTATTTGCCTTTCCCCCCATACAGTTTGGTACATAAAGTATTAAAAAAATCTTTGTTATATAAGATGGTATGCAGTTGGACACTGGGATGGTAGAAGAAAGAAATATGCCAGGCAAATAAAAAATAATAGAAAAGATAAGCCTTTTTTTGGTTGATTATGTACCATGTTCATATTGAAATGATAATATTTTTGTTATGAGACATTTAACCCAAGGTAATAATGTCAGATATGATATATGATAACATGAATGCCAGCTGTATGATAATATGAATATGTCAGCATATGATAATATGAATGTCAGATACGTCTATATGATATTATGAATAGAGTGGAAAAATAATCGGTGATATTCTTTTCCATGTCACGTGCTTCAAATAAAAATTTAAAGTGCTACAACTATAACTTCGAAATGAACAAGTACTCAGATTCTAAATTATCTTAACATTTAAACATTTAATTGCCTAAAGGCTGAAAACTGCAAATACACCAAATATTGAGCATAAGTGGTTTAATAGTACTTAAATACCATGCAAATGGAAGGTATAAAATAGAGTAGAGCATATTTTTTTTCGAATAATTTATTAAATCTCCTTAATAAGGAATTTTTAATTCTTGTAAATCCAAATATCGAATAAAAATATTATTAATACACATAAAATAAAATTATATTACTTAAAATTCCTTTATTAACGAGGACTAAATATAGTTGCCTGAAGAAAAAGTGATTTCAATTCATTATTATGCCCAGTTATTTCTATTCTAAGCAAGGGAAAAATGTAGAAATCAGAAGTATAAATCATTGCACTTGATTTTTTTCATATTACATTTTGTAATAATAATCTAAGTAGCCTACTAATCTAATAAGTAGCAGTTTTAGGTACCAAAAGATAACTAGTCTTTTCCTGCCTCTAAGACTTTTTGTTTCTTAAGTCTGCAAAAGAATTTTACAAAACGGACTAGTGCTAAATAATTACCATTGCTTCTTTTTATTTTTTACATTTTCCCCTTTCCTTTCTTTTCCTCTATTTTTTGTGAGAGCTAAAAACGTACTCCAGAGCCTCTGTGGTATTCTTACAAGCTACATACTACATTTAGTGGGTTTCAGCAACCGAGTGTTATGTTTTACCTTGTGATATCTCTTGCTTACCTCGGAAACGTTATGTGTATCTGAAAATCTTCACCATTTGAGGTAAAGCAATTCAAAGTACTTTATTTTAAAATAAATTTATAATCATTTCTATAAATATTTGGGGATAAATTCAAAAAGCATAATTTTATTTATGTTTCCGTCGGACCCGACCATAACCTTTATATATAACTGTTTCTTCATGCCGTTTAAAAGCTAAAAGACGATTGCAAAATTTCTGAAA